AACTTCTTTTTTTCTTCTTCTTTCGAAGGTCTAACTTTTTCTCAAGAAAATTCACGTTTTTTTTCAATTCTCTATTAGCGGCTCTCATATTTTTTTCGAAACAATGCACCTTTCTCCCTTTTTTATAGTTCCAATAAAAAATTCAACCATACCTCCACTTAACTTTTAACAAGCTCATAACAATTTCAAATGCTCAGAAGAGGTAAAAGGTTCACACATATATTCAATTCAAACAAAGGGGTCAGACTAGTAATGTTGTTGGCAAAGAAATAGGATTAGAGGCTCAAATTAGCTAACTAGGATACGTATAATTAAGTGAAAAATTAAGTATATAACTGGATCAATAAAAATATACCCATGTCACTTTCTAGACTTAACAAGACTATCATTTCGCTTTGTAAACATACGGGGCAAGTTCTAAACATCATCGGACATGCACAGACTATCAACAAATAACCTTACTCACACATTGGCACATAACTCACTCAGGACTGGATCTATCCCGACTCTCTAGTCAAAGCAGTTAAGCAAAAGCAAGCATTTTAAGCACTTACATGAGTCAAGAATTGAGCCTAGGCGTCACAACTAAGGCACTTACCGCTCCAAAGGCATAATGAAGTCAAGAAAGATTGCCTTTAATTAACACTATGACACATGATTCTTTATTCCTACCAAAAGAAAAACTAACTACACCTGATTCAAGTAAAAATCCTTAGAAAAGAACCACGATACCAAAAAAGTAAATAAGGGAGAATTGTTACACTACCTAAAAAATAAAATAAATTGAAAGGCATATTTTTGGATTTTTAAATCTTTATAATATATTTTTTTATTTTTTCGTATTTTGTTCCGACTTTAAATCCCTCAAGAAAACAGTCGAAGAGATCAATCATCGGGAAAAGTCCAATTTTTTTTTTATATTTCCTAAAATAATGATAAAAAACACACACATAAAAATACATATATTTACATCCACGCTCACACTTTAAATTGTGGCATATCCCATGACACACAAGCAAAAAAAAAAGCAAGAGGTAAAGAAAACTCCCCTGAATTTTTTCTGTTTTCGAGAACATATGAACTCAACCCCTAATTTTGAATTTATTCCTCGTTTTCACTCCTTGGAATTCTCTATAGAGATCATTAGGCCCAATTTGTCTGAGGATATCTAAGACCCGCTCTTTTCTTTTTTTTCTTGGCCTCATTTTGAGTGGTGAATTATTCTTTCAGGATGATCATCAATTTGTCCCCGCATTCTTTCACGTGATCAATCCATGCATATCCCTGTAAATTCCCAAAAAATAAAATTCACATATTAGAATTAAAAAAAATAAAGATGAATAGTCATGTGAATATTCCTCTAGTATGTTCAAGACCATTTATTTTTCATTCTCTTAAGGTGAATGGGATTTGAACTCTTCTTTTATTGCTTCACAATCAACCAAAGCCTAATCTTCAATCATCTTAATTGGATAAGAGTCTTCTTGCAGAGTGGAAAGTTCTCTATGTAAATGCTCATCCTCTTGGGTAGACTTATTCTCACAGGGTATCTCCTTCATATATTCACCATCACAATGCAATGAGCTTTCTGAAAGCATACTTACTATTTGACTCACTTGCATTTTTAGGTTCTTAATGGCTTTATCATTTGGTATAAGTCTTTCTTCAACAATATTCATGAACTTATACATAAGCTTTTCTAAACTATCATTCCCCTCTTGAGGTGGTTGTCTCATTTTGCTTTCATTCCAGTCATAATAAGGATATTCGTTCCATCTAGAGTTAAGATTGTGCCTATATGAAACATCATACCAGTAAGGACTAGAAACAAAGTGAGATTTTTCAAAATATGAACCATAAGAGGAACACTTACCTGCCTGACAGTCAACTCAATGATGATTTCCATTACATTTAAAATATATAGCAGACTTGCGATAAATTCAGCTGATAACTCCGCAACTATTTTCTTAGTCTAGTTGTGCTCCATCTTTCGAACAATTGGAGTTCAATATCAAGAATTTTTTTGTTAAGCTTTTTCCCTAGCACTTGTCAGGTACTATAAAAGAAATCTTGAAGACAAATTAACTAAAATAAAGAGAGAGAAAATAAAAATAAAAGAAAATTACTAAATTAGCACCAAAAACTTTTTTAAACACTATTGATTGTAGATCTCCAACAATGGCGCCAAAATTTGACGAGCGTAAAACACACTATAAAAATAAGCTCGTGCTATGCCAAATATAGTATAGAAAGTTATCATCTCCATAGGAATTAGACTAAACAATGTTCAAGTATAGTTAGATACAATCTAGGATGATTAACATTTTGATTTGAGGATGATTAATACTACAACTAACAAACTAAAATTAACGAAAATTACAATTGATCGCGAAGAGCTAGAGATTAGCAGAATTGGGTTGTTATCAGTTTGAGAAATAAGGGTCATGACATAATAGGTGCAAAAATATTATCCTGGATTTGACAATGTTAAATTTCGCTCATAATGTTCTATTGACTCTCGCAAATTCAATAGGTTATTATCTTATTATTGTAATTCAGATTCCTCTCTCAATTAAACCTAAATCGTTGAAATAAGATAATGTGAAGTGCATTAAAACTTGCAAGAATCTATTGGTAAGAATGGTCTAAGAGAAACTTCTCGCGAATATTTCTCAATCTTAATTCAAACGGTAGATCACAAAGCTCTTTCGATTACTTCGAAGAAGTACCAAAATAAATTAAGACATGCATTGCAACAATATTCAATATTATGCTCCTCTTCTGATTAAACATGATAATGAATAAAATCACAACTAGAGTTAAAGTTCTTCCAACAAATTCAAGTAATCAAGCAATAATCAAATCCATAGATAACAATCAAGTCACCGTATCATGTCAAACTCTAAGGTAAACTATTCCTTAATCATGGAGGAAGTCATCACAAATAGAGTTAAAGAATAAGAAAATATCAATCCAACGTTACAATCCAAACTCCCATATTAAATTGGAAGAAAGGTGATGAAATCATGTGTCTTGAAGCCTCCATTGCTCTCCAATAGCTCCCTAGGTCCAAAGTCCTCTAAAAATCTTTTTTTTTTTTTATGGATTTATACTATGTAAGAACGAGCCCGGGTGAAACTATCTTCTCTGAGCCGAAGTGATCATCTTTTCCAGAGAACTAATTTTTCACCCTGCGGGAATTTTTTCAACGAGCACTAGGAAATTTTCTCAATTTTTGATATCCAGACTTGGTCGTCGACCCCGAACACGATCCCTGACTTAATTCCCTGGGCTTCTACTCAAACTTTAAAGCTCCAATTCATCCATTTTAGCTCCAAATTCTCAACTCGAAATCACATCCTACACAGCATAACACACGAAATAAGTACAAAATACTACTCCCTCCGTTCTAGTTTATGTGAACCTATTTACTTTTTGGCCCGTTCCAAAAAGAATGACCCCTTTCTAAATTTGGAAATAATTTAGCTTAAACTTCTAATTCTACCCTTAATGAGAAGCTTTTATAACCACACAAATACTCTGGACCCCTTTTTGACTTGTTTAGGACCACAAATTCCAAAAGTCTGTATTTTTTTCTTAAACTGCGTGTCCAGTCAAACAGGTTCACATGAATTGAAACGGAGGGAGTAACAATTAGGCTCAAATAAGATTAAACTGCAGCAATTAGAGCGTAAAATGTAGCTAAAAATGTTGGTTCCTAGCCTACCATCGATAAGTATAGACGTGTTCATACCGATCTGCAAGACTCTACTAGACATACTGATGACTCGTGAGACCTATGCAACCTAGGTTTTGATATCAAGCTGTCACGACCCAAAATCCTTCCAATGATCGTGATGGCACCTAACATGTCCGCTAGGCGAACTCATACGACAACCAAATAAACAACAGAAATGAACCAATATAACAAGTCTAATAGATATTTCTAGCATAAATAAGTCTAAAACCACTAATATGCGTCACAGTAATACAATACCCTAAAAACTAGTGTCAGCTAGTACATGAGCTTTTCATATAGCAGTCTGAAATAAATACAATATTGTCTGAAGTAAACAACAGTCTTAAAACATGAAAAAGGTGATTTCGAGATTTGCGGATGAAAATGTTGCACTACCTCGAGCCTTCTAGCACCGCAATGATCTGCTCCTCAACTCTGCTAACCAACGCCTGAATTTGCATAAAAATATGCAGAAGTGTTGTATGAGTACAACAAACTCAATGTATTAGTAAGTATCAAGACTAATCTCGGTGAAATAGTGGTGAGATTGGTCGACTCTTACAACTTAAGGTATTTAAATAGAAACTAAGTGTTCCAACTCACTCCCGAACCCCATGAAAATCAAATCACCCTTCCCTGCAAGTCACATATCATCAAATGAACCTCGGGGAAACATTAAATAGGAAAATGAGGGTCTAATATTTACAGGAGGCCATTAATGACAGCTAAATCAAATAAAATCACTAAGAGATGAGCAGCTAAATCATAATATAAAAATAACTTTTAGAACCTTAAATTAGCTTGGTAAGACATGTTAAACTGAGTCCAAAAAAAAGAAATTATTCCAGTATAGCATATTATGAAAGTTGATTGCTTGTCACTTTAATTAAACTTTTGATGAATCGGCTAAAGTATTTTTATGTTACTTGTTTATTTTACCAAGGAAATCTTAAAGAATCATAATAACGTATTTGGAAAATTCGGTGGGACAAGATTTCTTCTTTTATTGAGTTAATTAAATAATTCAATATTCATAATTTTCAAAAACTTAAATAATTTTTATAATATATATAATATGTTTATTGACATGGGATATACGCGTAAAATGTGTACCCTATGACTATTAGTTATAAAAATACATCACTAAAAATATATTGAAAAGATTGAAGTACAAAATTTTCTAAATATAAAAATATATCATTTTTCTTTGGAACATTCCAAAAAATAAAGAGTATAACTCAAATACAAACTAACACAGATTAGATTGAAGTGACTGACTCAATCTTTATTGATCCAATAAAATTGGGACGATACAGAGAATAAAAAAAAAAAAACATATAGCAATGTACAAATTATAGGACGTAATGTTTCTTTTGATAATAAAAACCCGTTTTCTGTATCCAATTTGGTCACCACCAATTTATTACTTTCTAGCTTGACCTAAGTTTTTTCAGCAAATCATGGATGATCTCTCTATACACAAGATTCAAATCTCCGGCACTACTTTAGCCTCTATCCTCCACCGTCTTTTCTCATCCCCGGGCGACATCCACGGTCTATTATTCGGCCACGTGTCATTCTCCACCACCACCCCTCTTTCCGACGACCCCGCCACTGCCTCCGCCGCCGTAACCACCGCCTCTGATGACGGCCCAATTCTTACCGCCACTATCACCGATTTTCTCTCTGTCCCTTCCCACTTTCCCCTCCCTTTACAGCAGCATGATGATCCTTCCGCCGCCGTTCTTGGTTGGTTTTCCGGTCGCCGAAAAACCCCTTTAAGACCCTCTTTAAAGGATTTTACAACTACCCTTTCTTTAACTTCCTCTGCTTCTCACTCTTTTACCCCTCAAAATGCTCCGTATTTACTTTCTCTGCCCCCCTCTTTGTTCCTTCTATTAACGACGCCGTTTCATGAACAGCTGATACACACCCACGAGTACAAAGCTTTTCAGTACCGTATTTCCACTGATTCATTCGACCCCAAAAGTTTAGATATTATCAACATTGGTCCATCTTTTCGATCCCATTATGGTTCTTTTAGTCCTATTTCACCATTTCCTTTAATTTCATGTGACTTAAGGGGTCCAAATGCAATGGCTGAGGATGAAAAGGTGGAATCTTTGGTGAGTATTAAAAGGGGTTTGAAGGATCAGAAGGAGTTGGATTTGTGTGCTGAAGGATTTGAGATTGCGAGATTGAACAAGTTGATGGGCTCTGATGCTTCAAATTATACTGCTGAATTGGAGCATTTGTATGATAAAATGCTTGTTAAGCTTGATAGTTTGGCTAGATTGGTGGAAGCCAGTTCCGCTAAGGTTCTTGAGCAGGTATGCATGAATAAAGATAGTCTTTACTTTTGGATTTATGGTTCTGTATGGATTTTTTTGGACACAAACTAGTTTGGGATTGAGGCGCAGTTGAGTTGTAGTATGCTCATGTGATAGTATTTCCTTTTTAGTCTTCTCCAGAAAAAAACACATTTCTATAGTTAGAACAATCTAACTTTAGACTTCCTATTTTACGTTTAATGAGATGATTTCTAGTCTCTCTCTCTCTCTCTCACACACACACACACATATATCTATATATATATATATATATGAGTTCACAAATTATAAAAGTGTGGGTTTCTTTACTAAAATCCGCTCAGTCAAACTCATCTGATAAATTGGAAAGGAAGAAGTAACATTTGGATTTCATCTTCTGTATGAATTTTGTAGAACCGAACTAGCTTGGAGTTGAGGCATAGTTGTCTTTGTTGTTGTTTTTCTTTTTGTGTGTGGATATTGATGGATTGAGCTTTGTATTCACAATGATTTGAAACGCTGGCAGGAAAACCACAATATGAAGTTGAGGTACAAAGTTGCTGGCTTGGAATAAATTCTGAAGATTCAGGTGGCATTTCTCCTTTTGTAAGGTAAAAATTCGTCCTTTTATGAGATATGTGATTTTTCCAGGTAATAACTGATTGCCTTGTTAGTAAATATTGCAGTAATGTTATTTGCTAAAATGCCGGTTATCCCGCACGGACGCTGGACTATTATGATATTTTGTTTTCATTGTGTTTCCTTGTTAGACAACCGTTCAATGTATGAAGACCTGAGTGGATAGAAAATATTTATCTGAACTCATCTAACTGCAAGTGTGATATAGACAACCATTTTATGTGATTAAGAAATCATTTTAACAAACAGAGACAACATTCGGGTGTAATATTTTTAAAAGTCGTTTACTCTGATTGCATGTGATATATTTTTTAATATATTTGTAGTAACTAAAATATATCGGAAACAGTATCTGTGCCCGTCCAGTGTAGGGGTAGGGGTAGGGGTAGGGGTAGGGGTAGGGGTAGGGGTAGGGGTAGGGGTAGGGGTAGGGGTAGGGGTAGGGGTAGGGGTAGGGGTAGGGGTAGGGGTAGGGGTAAGGCTGCATACATCCTACCCTCCCTAGACCCCACTTGTGGGATTACACTGGGTTCTTGCTGATGTTGTTGTAGTAACTATTTTCACCTTGGATTATTTCTTCTTCTTAGAGAGCCATTGGATGTTACGAAGAAAATGTTAGCAGATTGAGACAACAATTGATGAATTGAATGTGATATCCTTAAAAGTGGTCATTGTAATCAGATTAGGTCATTGTTATGGACTAAGATATTTCAAGAGAGCAACTAAGAATGTATATGTACTGTAATTATGTCTCTGAACTTTTTGTCTATTTAGGTTCTCAATTCATAGTATCTTGTACGTGTTAGGCTTAGTACGAAGAGGAAATCAGTTGCTGAGCCTCTCATTTCCTTTATCAACTCCACTGAGGTAGGATGAAGGTAGAGTGCTGTGTTCCTAGCTCAGTGGAGTTGATAAAGGAAATGAGAGGCCCAGACAACTGATTTGATCTTCGTACTATGTCTAGTTCTCATCTAAGTTAGAACTGTTTCAGCGGTTGTAATTGCTATAGAGTAGACATCAGCTGTCCCTTCATTCCCTAATCACTGCATTCTTGAACTTCATTTCTTCCAAGGCTTCTCAAAGACTCCCTTATAACCTGTAAGAAGAAAAAGGTTTCTTATGGACTCATCATAGTGGATGTATATATCTGATTAGTCACATTACATATGCCAGTGAAAGAAAGGGCCATTTTGCTTGATGCATGCACATTGAGCACTGTATAAGTACTACCCTACCCAACAACACGTCCAATCATTTTTTTTTTATGAAGACAACTCGTCCAATCATCTTTGCATGTAACAGCCGGCAAACTGTATAAGTAGACCAGACTAGAGAGTCGGATGCTTTGCACATAACTCACTACCTTCTCTCCTATCCAAGGAAATGGACACATCTCTAACTATGTTTTCCAAACTTTTTTGTGGTAGTGGTACTTTCATAATGTATGCTATGCAGTGATTGCTGTCTTATTATTCCTATAGGCATTTCCTCATTTTCCTTCTTGCCTGTGCTCATAGCCTAAGTTGCCTATTTGATTCCCCTAATTAGGCATTAACTTCGTAATGCCTAAGAGAAACTCTGGAGCATAGTTCCTTACACTTTTTTAGGTTAGGAGGTGTTGGGGGCAGATGTTAGATATGTGCGTCTTTGAGCTAGTAGCTCAACTAGGAACAGATGATGACATTACTATATATTCCAAGAAACTCTTTAAATTTGCTAATGATGGCACCAATAAGGAAGTATGCACATAAATTTCTTTGCATTTGCTGAAGTGTTGGTGGGCAAAGTTATCCCGTACCTGTGATGGTAGAAGGTAGTGGGTAGCCGGTGGAAGGCACCACTGTTATCTATCTATACTATACTTAAAGCACGAAGGCCCATAGCAAAATGTCGTTCGTCTTTTTTACCGTTTTATAATAGAGTTCACACAAGACAAAATAGTCATTTGATTAACTTCCTACTATTTAGGAATTGTCATTTAATTAATTTCCTACTATTTAGCAATAGTCATTTAATTATTTTCCTAATATATATAATATTAATTTTTCAACTCCTTTTGGTTCTAGAGTATTGAACACACACAATAAGCTTTTCGTTAACTACGCAATAAGAAAGTTTTCCATTCACCATTTATATTTAGGAGCAATTTTAAATTCCTCCTTTTAGATTTAGGAGGGCTTTTTTGGGTTGATAAAATTCTTATTCACACCCTAGGAAAGTATCGATGATTCCAAACACATTTAGATTTAGGAGTACTAAAATTTTACACTTGAAAAGTGTTTTTAGTTAATAAAATGTTGATTAATTACGCACACTAGGAAAAGTTTGGTATAAATGATTGACAAATTAATTTGTATTATAAAATATATCCGATGAAAATGAGCTCTTTGAACTTCTTTTTGGTTTAAGAGTCTTTATTTTTTAATAAAAAATTTACATAATTTTATATACCTAGATACTTCTATGAAAGAAGCTGCAATTAAAAAATTTCAACATCAAAACTTGCTTTGTTGGAGTAGCAGTTACAAAATTAAGGGTTTTCAGGTTCTCTTTCCTTGAGCAAAAAGCTATTGTATTATTAGCTAAATTTTGCATTCACGTATTTGTATTAGTAGTTAAATTATTCTTTAATATTTTGTAAACCTTAAGGTATTTGTATATAAATTTACATTCACCTATTCAACCAATACATCTTTATTTTGGTGTGCTTGATTGTGAACATTGGTTGAATAATCACCTTTTTGCAGCTTTAACCTTTTGTCCGGCTATTTCTTCTACTATTTCACTGTGTTTGCATTGGACCTTATGTCCGTATTGATTGTCCAACTTTATACCAGTTTTTAATAGATTTTATATCAAACACAATTATAATTAAATTAATTTTTTATCTTTTAAAATTTTATAATTAACTAAAATTTTAAGTATAAGCTTTTTCTTATTTGAGCTAGGTAGAAAGTCATAATATTTAGTACTTTAAAGTCAATTAAGATTTTACCTTATCTAAATGCTTTCTTTATTTGAACTATATAAAATACCTATAATTTACTTTTAAGAAATTCATCTATTGAATTTAACAATAATGGAATGTGAATTCTACACGTACTCTAGTTTATAACGGAATGTGAAAAGAAACTTCGCTTATTCGAATAGCTATGTGGCCAATGATTTTACTACTTCGAGTTCATGCACAATTCAAAACTATTGCAGAAAAAATATCAAAGAAAGGATATAACGTAGTTTTAGGTTCGGATATTTCAAAACAATTCAAATCTTGTGGGGAATCAAAGTTTTTTTTTTTAAAAATAGCATTACTCTAAAAACTTAAAATCTTCAAAAGTTATTTTTTCTTGCTGAAACTAAAAAAAAAAAAGAAGAAGATTGAAATCAATTTTAAGTTACATACTGATTGAGATGATTGAGTACTTTTATGGGATAGAGTTTCTTTCTTTATTAAATAGTAAATAAGATTACCAATTAATTATTTTAGGAACTTAATTATACTTTTTAATTGTATTTTGCAACTAAAATACAAATTTTAATATAATATAAAAATTTGATATTGATTGAGACAAAATACACGCACGTTCCCTGAAACTAGTTAGACAAAAAAAGAAAAGAAAGAAGCACCAATCAACCAATTGAAGTCTCAGGACATCACATGAGGCAAAAACGAACATGCATAGTGGAGTATTTGGGCATTGATCCTGCATGCTTTAAAGGATATACATAATTACCCCCTTGGGTTGTCGCACTTTACCAGTTGCACCCTTATACTTTGCGGTCTTATGATCTTCCTGCATTTGTTAGAAGTGTAATAAGTACCACCTTTTCAGATTAATCCCAGTTTCAAAAAAAAGAAGTGCAAATCACGCACCAATCCTTGCTTGCCACGTGTCAAATTCATTTAATTTTTTTTTCCAATTTACCTTTTTATTTGTCTGTGTTGTATTTTTTTTTCTTTTGCATTTTCTTTCTCTATAATCTGTATCTCTCTTTCTTTTTCTTCACCATTTTCTCCCCCTTATACCCGTAACATCCCCCGCGCCCTGCTCCTCGTCGTCGACACCCTCCATCACCCATAGGGGAACTCTTATCTTAAATTAAAAGGTTGCCCGAAAATAATAGACAAGATAAAATTTATCAGGATCTTTTGAATAGCGTGAAAATGATCTTCTAAATTTGTGGGTAACGGGGAAATAAACGATGGAGATGACTTATCAGAAAGATGGCGTCAGCGGAATCACCATTTATTCCGGTGAGAAACTTTGCAAGGAAAAAAAAGGGAAAACAGAAAGAAGAAAAGGAAGGAAGAACAAAAAAGAAGAAAAAAAGAAGTAAAATAAAAAGGAGAAAAAATAAAAAGACAAGATGTGCTTCTTGCCGGAATCATCAACATTCTGCTAGTAATATAGCAAGGAAGACAAATGTAAAATGAAAAAGGGAAAAAAAGAAAAAGAAAAAAAGAGAAGGCATTATTAGAGGAAGGATAGGAAAGGAAAAAAAAGGTAGAAAAAAGAAAAGGAAAGGGCAGAAGCTAGCTGGGGATGTAAAAATGGCGGATGGAGTAATAAGGTAGAAACAAGTAAGAGAAAAAAAGAGAAGGAAAGGAAGAAAGAGAAAAAATAAAAATAAAAAAAAAAGAAATTTTAGAGCTTTCCCGCGCAGTCATCCGGTGCAAATCAAAGTGCGTGCCACATTAGCTCAAAAGATGGTACTTATTACACATCTAACAAATGGAAAGGGGTCATAGGACTCCCGCAAAGTATGAGGGTGCAACTGGCAAGTGCGACTACTCCGATGGGTAATTATGTATTTTCCCTTTAAAATTCAAAGGTTTGCCATTTCTTCTTGTAGGGGAATGAATGTTGCAACTTTTCTGTAGTTGCACTTGTGAAGTCTTTATTTTCTTGTACCCTATTAGCTATGCACTTTGCCTTAACCTACATATATTTAGGTTAACTGAATGATGAAAAGCACTACATTTTTCTTCCTTTGATAGCTGCTTGGAGAGAATGAAAGCCATGTTTATCTTTTATGTGAGATAATTTTTGTCTTACTCGTAGATCACTGGATGGCGAGGACAACTGCTGATGAAGCTTTGCAGCTTGATGTATGAGATTAAATGATAGAATTGCTGCTTACTGCGGGTGTGCATTTTCGTTGAACAGATTTGAAGATGTCCTCTTCGTTCTGCCATTCCCGAATGTATACTAGCTATGTATGTCTAACCTTGGTTTATTACCAAAAAAAGACTGCCTTTCTTGTTCATATTCTCTAGCTGGTTAAAAAATTCGTTTGCTTTGGATTGAATCTCCGAGACGTGTGGCTTGGACTTTTTCGTCTATATACACTTGTATTGTGAAGAACTTTGTTTTTGTCCATTTTGGCGCAAAGAGCAATTGGTAGGGTAAATATTGGATGCGGGAAAGATTTTATCCAGAAGTGGGATGGCACTGAGGGAGGACTTCAAAATTAAGTAACTTCCTGCACAGTCCCACCTCCATCCCGGTCCATTGCCATTCCTAATATTTCGACTTGGCAAATTTTAGAAGGATTAGTAGAGTTAAAGGACTAGAATTTTTGCTGCATTAGTTTTCCATCGGATTATTTTTATTTGAACATAGTGATATCAAATATTGAATTGTTAGCTTTTTCACTAAGAATTGCATTATTTTACTCTACAAAAGATTATGCGAAGTGGATAAGAGTCAGAGGCATGGAAATGCACTCACGAGTAAATTACACTTCCATGGTCTTCCACTTTTTATTATATTCGCTGTTATAATTATCGTTGTTTTATTGACCTTTTAGCATCACTCCATCAGAGATGAACCCGAAACATAGAGTCAGTTCAGTTCAATTGATTAAATCTACTTTTACGCACCATTTTAAGAAACTACTTCCTTTGTTCAATTTAAATGACATATTTTCCTTATTATTCCGTTTTAAAAAAATAGTACATTTCTATATTTGAAAATAATTTAACTTTTAACTTTTTATTTTACCCACTTTACCCTTAATAAGAAGTTTTTATAATAAAAAAATATCATGGTCCTGCAAAGTTTTTTCCCCTTGAGCTTTGAGGCCCACATGTATCAAAAGTATTTTTTTTTTCTTAAACTCTGTGTCAAGTTAAATTATGTTATCTCAATACAAACAGAAGGACTGTTATAATTGGACGAGCAATTTAAAGGGAAAAATAGATAACAAGAAAACAAGAAGAGTAGTTAAGGATTTTGTTCGAGAGACCCGTGATTTAGATCGTAAAAATTGCATGGGACGCCCTATTTGATTGCCCCCTTTTAACTTATACCCATTTTATTTTTTCGTTTGCATCCGTACCCATTTTTTGTTAAAAATGTTTTAAAAAGACGATTTTGCCCTTCAGGACTATTGACAAAACTGTAGACTGCAGGACAAAACTTCAGCATGTTTTGGTATGAAGTTTTAGCAAATGAACTAAATAACTTAAGCATGTTTAGTCTGAAGTTTTAGCAAATGAACTAAATAACTTAAGCATATTTAGTCTGAAGTTTTAGCAAATGAACTAAATGACTTAATCATAATGAACTAAATAACTTAAGCATGTTTAGTCTGAAGTTTTAGCAAATGAACTAAATAACTTAAGCATATTTAGTTTGAAGTTTTAGCAAATGAACTAAATAACTTAGGCATATTTAGTCTGAAGTTTTAGCAAATGAACTAAATGACTTAAGCATAATGAACTAAATAACTTAAGCATGTTTAGTCTTTAGCAAATGAACTAAATAACTTAAGCATGTTTGGTCTGAAGTTTTAGTAAATGACCTAAATAACTTAAGCATAATGATCTAAATAACTTAAGCATGTTTAGTCTGAAGTTTTAGCAAATGAACTAAATAACTTCAGCATGCATTAGCAAAAACTCATTAGAAAATTAAATACTGCAAGACAAAAATTTAAGCATGTTTAGCTGAAGTTTTCGCAAATGAACCAAATAACTTCAGCATGTTTAAACTGAAGTTTTAGCAAATGAACTAAATAACTTCAGCATGCACTAGTAAAAACTCATTAGAAAATTACATACCGCAAGACAAAAACTTAAGCATGTAATGAACTAAATAACTTCAGCATACATTAGCATGAAGTTTTAGCAAATGAACTACTTCAGCACTCATGAGAAAACTGTAGACTGCAGGATAAATAACTTCAGCATGCATTAGCATAAAGTTTTAGCTTTAATGTAAAACAACTTCATGCTATATTAGCATGAAGTCTTAGCTTCAACATGAAACAATTTCATGCTACATTAGCATGAAATTTCTGATTTTTTGATAAAGCTGCTGAGAGGAGAGGATGAGATCTTTTTTCATGAATGAGGTTGCAGATCACGCGATTTATTAGGGGTGTAAGTGTCATATTATTACAGATTATTTGTCAACTGGCTACCAAATCAATAATTTTTGAAAATAAGGTACAGGTTAAAAGGTGGCACAAATATAGGGTACGACTGCAAATCCCCATTTAAATCACTTGTGTTAGTCCGCATCGTGCGAACCGAGCATGGTATTTAAGTGGGGAGATGATTTCTTCGTCCGATAAAAAGAAACAAGAAAGAAAAACCAAAAAGAAAGAAAGTAAAATAAAAAATCACGGGGGAATTGTTTTTTTTTTTTTTTAAATAGGAGAATTGGCTCAGTATAAGCAACTTCAGCATTAACTGGTAGATTAAAGTATTCTAAGTTATTGGGGTAGGTCAAAAGTTCAAGAACCCTCGTAATATTCTCTAAAGGAAATTTAAATAAGAAAACAAAAATTAGAATTAAATGCTGGTAATATGGATATTTCTGCTAATTTCTTTGCCCGCAAGAAACAAAGCCGCAACTTCTTTTGGATAGAACACTTAAAAGACAAATGCTTGGGCCCCAAGAAGATGACACTTAAGGTAAATTAAAAACGTATCTAATCAGATAGTGTGTTTAGTTTCAAAATCAGCCTATATAGTCGTAAACGTGCCACGTAATTATCTGTTTCCTCTACCATAGGATATTAACAGAATTACTTAATCCCCAAGGAAAACACAAATATACAACCAAACGCACGCCTTTATTTATATTTGTCTTTTTCTCAAATTCTTAAAGAAAGAGTTGTAATCCTAGTTTGATAAGGAAAAGGAATTGGGCTACGAGAAAAAAGATAACTGATCAAATATTTATTTTATTTAGTATTATATAATAACTAAAAGATAAATTAATCAGAGAGCAGAGACTGCGAAAACGACAATCTCCCATAGCAAAACCAAGACTTTTATCAATTTGCTTTTGACACTGTATGTCTTCTCACAATTTCCAAAGGTGATTTTCTTCTCCTTTTATCCTTTTCCTATGTACTAATGGAAACGAATTCTTTGCCTCACTTTTATATAAAATATATATCTTTTAGTATTATATGTAGTCCAAGTCCTCAAGCTTATTGGTTTTCAATTGTCATATCTTGGAAATTTCATTGTTATTGCGTCATGATATATAACTTATAAATTGCGATGCAAGAAAGGCTTTTGGCAATTCTTTACTATAGTAGGAATTGAGTTCCTTGTCCAATTTGGTGTTCAAGAAGTTCAAATATTATCAAAGTTATGCAATAAGGGATTCTTGTATAATTTTTTGCCTACTTTAACAAGAATCTTGGATAGTACTAGTAATTTATTTTGCAAAAAGGGAAGAACCCTTTTGTAATCTTTACTTGTTTCATAAATTAATGGAATTTTGTGGAAACAGGAGAATGAGAAGAAGGCGTAACGGATCAGCTTCTATAGAGGAGACTTTGTTAATGTGGAAAAATCAAAAGCAAGAGCTTAATGCTACTTTAGATGGTGGGATAAAGAAAAAAACAAGAAATTTTCCTGCTAAAGGTTCTAAAAAAGGTTGTATGAGAGGTAAAGGTGGACCAGAGAATTTAGGGTGTAAATATAGAGGTGTTAGGCAAAGGACTTGGGGCAAGTGGGTTGCTGAAATTAGAGAACCTGTTTATAATAGTAATGGAAAGAGACTTTGGCTTGGTACTTTTTCTACAGCTGTTGAAGCTGCTATTGCTTATGATGAGGCTGCTAAGATTATGTATGGCCACAATGCTATACTTAACTTCCCTGATTATTCTGTACAGAATTCCGAATTGGCTAATTACTCGACGAGTGTTTCTATTGCACGAACTACTTCATTGGGGTCGAGTGAATCGTCTGTTGAAGATTCAAGAATTGAACCTGACTTACAAACATCAGATACACCAGGTGATGGTGTGGTTGCAATTACAGATGAAAAAACTATTTTGGATGATCCAACGAATTTATGTTCCGATGGTACAGCTGATGGGGATTCAGAGGCACAGCAGGATTCTTCTGTTTGTTGCTTGAATATGGAATCAGTAGTAATGGAAGTGGACGATTCTTTAGGCGATATGAAAGGTTTGAATTGCAGCACGAGAATTGATTCAGAGCCAATTCTCGAGCCTACAAGTTGTTGTGTTAAAGTTGAGACACCCTCGGACAATGACTTCGTGCAAGATAGACGTTTGGAATGCGTAGATGATCCTATCAAGGTGTCAAATAGTTTGCACATATTACACCAAGAAATGACTGATGTGAAGCCAAATGACAGCATATTTCAACATCATGTACCAAATGAGAATTATGAATCTGGTGACCAAGTATTGTTGCCTTGTGATCCCATTGCTCTACTGGACTATGATTGCTCAGCGAATGCATTGCAAGAACAACCGTTGGATTTCAGGTCATCTGATAATACGAGTGCAGATATTCGTAGTCATCTAGAGTACGCAGAGTACTTATTAATGGAAGACATCAACACAATGGAAGCAACAACTGTATCAGATACATTTTGGTTAAATGAGAATATTGGTGAAAGTTACAACCTTCAGTCTTTCTTAGACGAATCATTCGATGTAAACAATTTGAAGAATGAGGAGCTATCCGATTATTACAACTACGACCAGCAAATCAATCTGCTGAACTCTCGGACAAATGCTGAAGTTCATTCAAGTGGAGTTATAAGTAAAGGAGGTAAATCCAATGAGCAGTGCATCAATGTTCCTGGACTGGAGGACCATGGAACAGAGGTTAATATGGAAGATTTGTACATTCTGAATTCTGATTTTGATATCTCAAGCATTTTAGGTGATATTTTTTGACGTCCAAAAAGTTACCGATCCTTTTAGGCATTGTTTGTCTGTCCAAAGTAGAGATAGGAAGGTTAGAGTTCATAGAAAGATATATATATATATATATATACATGTTATGCAACTACAGTGTTATTTCATCTTCCTATTATAAAAAGAAAATACATACTTATGGTGAAAAAACAAAAGAACTTACTGTCCTTACACCTCTTACACCTCTTACTGTTCATTTGGATGTCTCTGCTGTTGCATTATTGAAAAGTTATCTTCTTTTGCATTACATTATTTCTTTGCTTTAGGATGGATAGAATTATCAGCATCAGCTAAGAACATTAGCATATTCATGAATATTATTGGTAATACCTGTAGACATATGAAATTTATTGGGTCTAATCCATACAAAATTTGGATTAAATTCAATTGGGTTAAATAATTAATTTGGGCTTTACAAGTTAAATTAGTCCATTTTATTAGTTTCGAGCCCAAGGTTCTCTTCATCTTAAGGCCCAGACTCATGCCATGTGTCAAGTGACATGGCATATCTAGTCAAACTGCAAGCCAAAAAGATGACGTCACGTGTTAAATGATGTGGCAATCCAATTCAAAAAGCAAGAACCAACCACAGGTCGCCAAGTGGCTAAAATGACATGAGCCAATCAGAATCAAGCAAGAGAGTTCATATGTAACTGGACTGTCCATCCCCTACAACTATAAATAGAGGGGTTACATAACTCTCAGAATTCAGAGTTGGAGAAGAGCATTCCGCAATTGGTGAAGGCATCCACAAACAGAGAGATCAATCATCACGTGCATAGTTCTTCAACAAAGGAGTGATTAACGGAGTTCTTCCCGGAGATCAACCCGTAACAACAAAGTGCTGCTCGACGTTCTTGGCGATTAAATATATCACAAGGAGGTCTGCATCATCCTACATTCGAGAAAGACGCTTCCCAAGCCCTCAAATCACGGAGAATTTTAGAGAGGAGAATCAAGGGATACATAGAATTGTACTCACAAATATTTATCAATAAAATCACTTTTTCTTCATATTATTTTTGTTGCAGTTTATTTTTCGTACTACGAAAATTTGTTGCGAACAAATTTTGGCACGCCCAGTGGGACCAATTCTGCCCTTCATCTCTCCTTCTTGCAAATTGAAAACTACAAACTTCAGATCTATTGCTACAATGGCCTTCCGCAAGTGTGATGTTTCATGCAAAGATGCTACAGTTGCCGCATCCGCTGAGCTCAGTCATGTTGGCCCAATCACTCGAAGCAACTTCAAGGCTAGTGGCTTCGATGGATCCGAATACTTCACCTCCTTGGAGATGGCAAAGAAGAGCAGATCTCATATGACGTTCGCAACCGCAATCTCTGGGGGCAACACCCCATTCTCGTTGTTTGACGAACTTTCTCAAACAGCCTCAAACCTTGGTGGATTTGAGGATTTGGTGGATTCTTCAGTTTCAACGAAAGTCAATGCCTTGAAGACTGACGCAACTAACGTGGACGAAAAGTTTGCCATGATGGAACAGACTGTAGGGTATTAAGAAATCTGTTGAAGACAAAGACCTTCAAATCGC